AATCGATATTAAAATATAAAGTATTTGTTATGTAGTAATGTATTTTTAGATGAATGGGGATTTTAATTTTTGCGGTAGTATTCATCACGGACTGACATCAGTTGGAGAACCATTAGACATTTGTTTCGTCCTTTTACAGGACTTCTCAGCAGTACGCACCCACTACCCGACTAGGAATCGGACTCAGGACCTTCAGGTTTCACAGCGAACGCGTTAACCACTCAGCTACTGAGTCGGAATTAAGTGGTTCACAGTTTCTAACTTCTATCAATTCGCAACATAGCACGTCTTCGGTAGGAATGGAAGCGGATGCCATCTGAAGACTTAGGGTCGTAGTCGTGCTATATCGCGAATTGATAGAAGTTAGAAACTGTGAACCACTTAATTCCGACTCAGTAGCTGAGTGGTTAACGCGTTCGCTGTGAAACCTGAAGGTCCTGAGTCCGATTCCTAGTCGGGTAGTGGGTGCGTACTACTGAGAAGTCCCGTACAAGGACGAAACAGCTGTCCAATGGTTCCAGATTTCCAATGGTCTTCCAACTGATGTCAGTCCGTGATGAATACTACCTCATAAAGTATGTACAATAAACGAGAAAAGTATATAACATGCAGCACCTTTGCATATTAACAATTTAAGGACAGACTAATTATATTCTCGATAAGGTAACATTTTCACTGCACTTACTTCACTGATTTTACTTCCATTTTAATCTACATGCACTTACAATGTGAGTGAAGCTGAGCATTTCAAAATATTAAGTTGTTCATATTTTTGGAATAATCCGTCTGAATGCACTAAATGATAGTTTACTGTTTCATGTAGAACGATGTCATGTAAAGTAATTCATTTGGTGACAAATAAAGTGGCTGGTAATTTCTAAGCGCTTACCGAACCTGGCTTTCATTGATTTCAGACAACGGTTCGAAATGATGGACGTATCGCTATAGATCTGGTGACCAAGAGCTGTACAATTTCAGCTGACACCAGAATATTTTGGCTTGAAAATCTTCTTAAGAAACTTTATACAGTTCTCCCCTTTCACGAATTTCAATGCAGCAAAAACAACAAAAGTAGCAGAATAAGCATACATGTATTTCATGTATTCTCCTCAGCTGCTTTACAACCTATCGAATATAATGTTTGTGATAAACAGTATGTTATACAACACACTTCGGCAAGTCGATAAGAATTTTCCAATTGGTATGGAAGGTAACAAAGATTTAGGTTGACTAACATTGATGAAGTTGTTAAGACTACCCAAAGGTTAACTACTTATGCGGTGATAGAATGAGCATTCCAGAGAAGATAGCAAAATTATATATATATATATATATATATATATATATATATATATGGGAGGGGGTTGTGAGTAATGTTATTCTAGAACTGGCAAAATGACGTCATGGCTAGGCAAGAGCGATGAAAGGTTAACAGGTCTCCATTATATTAAGTAATATGATGAATACAACTCAGAAAGTGAGAGTGGGCTTTGAAATAAATAGAAAAATAAAGTGAAAAATCTGAGGGTCACGAGGCTGATAACAGTATTTTCTGAATATGTAGACCAGGTTTGGGTCTTTAAATCGTAGCTGCTTCATCAAACCGCAAGAGAATGGGTTTTTGATGTTTTTTGATCCCTTTGAATGATATCAATACGTCAGCTTTATGCTCAATATCGTGCAAGTACCAGGTGAATGCACTATTTAAACCCTGTTGAACCTTAAGACTCAAATTCTTCGAGATATGTTCAGAAATACTTAGCAGAACCCTTATCTCTGTTCTTCCTATGTATGTGTTTTGGCGCGTTCATTTGAATTGGTGGATATAGTTGGTGGTAACAAGAGTTGGAAACCTGTCCATTTCGAAGTGTCTCAATGAGCGTTTGGTTTGATTTACATATGCTAAATGGTAGGCTGGATAGGTCCTTTCTTGCACCACCCAGTCTAAGACTCACCTGTGTGGCAATTTCATCCTCTTTGAAGGCAGGGTGAAGATAGACAAGCTTCTTGTCACATGTACTGCACTGAATTCTCTGCTCTTATGTCTTACCGTACTTGTCAATAAACGTTTTTGGATAACCATTTTCGCGTAGGCACTTCCACAAAAGTCAGTTCTTCCTCAGTTTACGCATACGGTTGAAAGATATTCTTACCAGAAATTTTTTGTAATTGATTGGCCAAAAGCTACTGAAGTTTAAAAAGGGTCTACTTCCCATGTCTTACCGATGAATGCATTCATGAATCCTTCCATTTGTAAGAGGTGGTAGGCCTAGGTTTAGGAAGTGAAATTCGTTGTAAAGTTTAGTTTCCATTGTGATTGCTATATTGGGGTGCACTTAATTAAAAAGACTCGATAAATGAACGGTATGTTCCATATTAGATTCATTTATTTAATTTATGACACACGATGATATAGTATTATTTACTTGATGACGTTTTGAGCATAAATTATTGCTCATAATCAATCATATCAATGATATATCACTGTGTATTATAAATCAATAAACAAATCTAATATGGAATTAAATTCTACCCCAGTCCCTAAGTTTTACACCAATATTAATGAGAGGTATGTTCACCAATATTGGATACAACAAATGCATCGTCAACGTTCCTCACGTAGAATGCTGTTTGGTCGATTACATATTTCAGTTTCGCTTGTTCTAGAATCCACATGAAGATACCAGCGATCTATCTTCTCTGGAATGTTCATTCTATCACCGCATAAGTAGTTAACCTTTGAGTAGTCTTAACAACTTCATCAATGTTAGTCAACCTAAATCTTTGTTACCTTCCATACCAATTGGAAAATTCTTATCGACTTGCCGAAGTGTGTTGTATAACATACTGTTTATCACAAACATTATATTCGATAGGTTGTAAAGCAGCTGAGGAGAATACATGAAATACATGTATGCTAATTCTGTTACTACTGATCATCTTACTTTATTCAAAAATTAAATAGCATGAATTCATCTAACTTCAACAAACACGGAGGTAATGTTGACATTGTGATAAGAAGCCCAATCTCATGTGCTGCTGAATAATCATCATTTCCTTTTTTGCTTGGTGATTTTTTATCTGTCTCCGTGTAAAAATGATTTTTGAAAAGACGGAGAATGACTTTACCCTGACATATGAATTTTTGAGTAGGACTGTTAACAGAGATGGTAGTATGCAACGTATACATTCAAAATCGATTCTATTTAATACCCTGAGCGAGAGTTGAAAATAGTTTAAATCACGTTTCAGATAATTGTTAAAATCCTTATGAAAGGTTTATCCTAAAGCAGTACTATCAAAACGATGTCCCCAAATAAGTACCAGTCAATCAATAAAATAGGTTAATATTTTAGTCTAATGTCCAGTAAATGACAAAAATATTAGACATATATTTTGACAAAAGTGAGTTTTGAGACCTATTATCAGTTTCCTTCAAGTATCTGTCACAAATGCAATACATCAGGATTTCTAGCTTTTTAGCTTAGCAGCTAGATTCCTCACCTGATTCTATTCTATGAAGTTTGAATACTGCTTCAGACTAGTGCATGGTGACTGATTACTACCTGGAGACAAACGCCTTGTATTTTTAGATTTAACCAAATTTCCTGAAAAGGTTATCTAGCCGACTGATGGTCGCCCTTAGTAAGATGCCAAAATACAATATCAATTAGCAGAGTCATCTAGTCACACTGTACATTTTAAGACAGCTAGAAAACATCAAAATGATTCACTCTGTGTGCATAAAAACAAGCCTGCGTAGTTTTTGATGATGATGATGAGTTTATTCCAGCGAATCAGTAGCTTTGCATGGACATTATTTATTTTCACATGCGATTAAACCAAGATATTCTTAATGAAGAAGTCAAGAAAATGTTGTTAAACAGATTGTGAAGAGAACACTAATAAATTTTACTTCATAAATTCCCTTCACTCAACCTAAATGGCTTCATGAGGAAATGACAGGGTATGCCAGTATTCCTTTCAAAAGATTATCACGCAAAAATGGCCAGATGGCTGAATTTTTGAATGAGTTATTATGTTTCCGGACCGCAGTTAATTAGGTGTCTACAGAAAAATGAAATTCAGACAAGCATATTTTAATCATACTACTTATCAGTTGCAAGTTAAGTGACACCTATTCACGAATCTTACTCCACTGACTAGCAGTTATGCATTGCATACATCTCTGAAAGAGCGTACTGAATCTAAATGAATGACTTATTATCGAAAATCAAGCTTTCCTGAGTCAGTTTTCTAACAGAGAATTCAACTTATCGAAAAATTTAATCAGTAATCTGTATTAAATGAATCGGCAGAATTTTGAGAATTTTCTATACCTTCCACTACATCTTCTAAGGTCAAAAGCACAATATTGAATTTCCAGGAAAATCACAGATTGCGGAACACTTAGCTGATACAAACTTATGGGGAGCGCCTTCTAAATGCAATCAACCTGTAAAAGTAGTTTACTTCTAGACTGTTTTCAGTGACGTTGAAATCGCATCCACAGTTTATACAGATTCATGGGTCATAGTTGTTCAAAGGAAAAGTTATGTTTTGGAAATCCTTTAGTTTTCATGATTTCCGTAAAATACCATTTCTCCGTGGTGTGACGTATTCATAGGATAACTTACTCGTAGAAAAAACTTTATGAAATATTAATACATAGTGTAAATACACTTCTGAATGAATAACTCACTGAGTTCCAAGATGAACTTGTGCCTATTCCACCAACTGTATAACCTGTGCTCGAACAAATCTTATTTGGTGATCTACGTGGATATTGAGGAAGTCCTGAGTAAGATGCGGCAGATGTATTCCCTGTTGCAGTGGTGCTACTGCCAACAGCTCCGCCACCACTGCCTGTTCCACTATTACTCGAAACACCTTGTGTACGGGTGAAATACCGTGATGATTTCGACGAATCCGTCTAAAACACAAATGTAAAATAAGAAAATAGTGAGTCATGTTTTAAAGTTCTACATTTTTGAAGTCAGTTTTTTTTATTTATGTGTTGCAGTATAATTATCACAGTTCAGAAATAAACAAAAAACCTTTCTGATAAGCAGATAAAAAGTCAATTTAATTTATTAACACTATAATCGGTAAGTAGAGGTGAGGTTGCATAGCATTGATAAATTGACAACTGATGTTTCATTAATCAATATTACTGCAGACAATACAACTTTTTTTCTTATTTTAAAGAAAGCTGCTGTGGTTTATTTCATGCTTTATTAGCTTTGTTTCTTTTATATGACAAAACTAGCGTTTACTCTGCCATACGTAACTTGTAGAGGATGTAAATTTAGAAATCACTTTTAGCCATCTATTGCTGTAACAACTCCTGTCCATCTCACAATGGATAACGGAAGATTATTTTGACCCATATTAGTCTATCTTGTTGGTTGCTTTTCCCGCTACAGGTTACACTTATGTCTTACTGACAAAATGAATTTTCGAGTAACGATCACTGTGCCCACGTTTACGGTAAATTGGATTTCTTTAATAACTCTTTAATTCATATTTTCATACTTTTTTCACAAGAGTTAGAATTATATCAAACAACTGGAAGTGAAATTTTAATTAAGTTATAAAACTGCGCATTCCTCCGCGAAACAACCAATTCCAACAAATTTTTTATTTCGATTTTTGTTTCTAAACATCCTATGCTAGAATACGGTGCAATACAATGTCATGCCAACTCAGTTAATTTCAACACAGTAAACTTGACTGCTAGACTTAGAAAAGTGTCGGTAGCCATGTCAGTTACCATCAAGTAACAAATTAATAATGAAAACATTTAACAGTGCCGCATGTATAAAATCTGAGATTGTTCAAGATAATAATGGTAACTTTGGAGTTACGACTATAAGTCAAAATTAGGAGTTTTGCTTAGGGTCTAAAGTAAACTATTTAGTGTATCACAATTTATGTTTATGTAATTATCCTCACCATACAGATATTCATAGCCTTTCCTTTGATATATAATAGCCCTTCTCAAGATTGCTAGATACACTTAAATAGTCTTGACTTAGCAGCTTTTGTCTTACCATCTCCAAAAGGAACGGATGCGTAACGTGTGCTAAATATTCCGGACATCAGGTAATATCAGTACAACAAAGAAAAGGTCATGAACACATGTGCTTATTATGCACCTTAAATTGTTGCCACTCGCATTGCTGCATAGCACTGATCATACTTCCTACCTCTTTTTCCTGTTAGTATCTACATGTTCTCTCGATAAATCTGTCAGTGCTGAGTTATACCAGATACCCTCAGCTTCCTAATGTTGTAAGTTAAAGGAAAGATTACTTCAGAAATTAGTAGGATATTGTAGTTATTCTTGTGACATATAGTGAAGACATTTGCATTGAGCAATGATGTTATCGGGCATATTTTTACAGGTTGTAAACTTATGAATATTTCCTTTGCCGAGTGGAATTAGATAGACGCAGCAATAAAAACATGAAGGGATGAAAAAAGTGGAGAAGTATCTTGAAAAACCTCTATAATCTTTTACTTCATCTACGAGATATAAACTATGAACAAAATCTGTATACTGTCTTCCTCGTTGTAGGTCGATGTGGTTAATTTTTATTGAATATTATTCAGTCATCAGTACTAAACGTATAGTAAAAAACACCCAGTTATGTTGGTACTAAACATGTAGGCATGTCTTTTTCCTACCTAGTCCCTTGATTTACTTTTCAAGGTGATTCATCTGTTGACTTACAGTGAACACTGATGTTGAACTTCACTCTTCAACTTATTCTTGCTTTATTGAAAATAACGCAACTATAACTTGCAGGGGAGTTATGTAGTTTGATATTCTCTGAAAATTGACATATGCTTGTGAACGTTTCATCATCAGGCTTGGTGAAGTCATGATTACATTATATGGATGTTGAGGCAGTATTTTGCAGACGTTGCAAGCTTTTAAGGTAGAGAAAGATATTTTACCATCAGCTTGCTTCCAGCTTTAAATTTCATTTGATCTATACTGGGATAAAATCTTTGTTGATATGAAATCATGATATGCGTCAGTGGCAACATGCTTTGCTAATTATTCATTTGTTACTTCACGTTGTCTGATTGGCAAGCATTTGGAAAATCTCATATGACCTTCGACTTGCACCTCTAAGCATTTCTGCATTTTCACAATCAAAGATGTCGTTGTGGGGAAAGAAACATTTACTTATATAGAAAGTATGATGTACTGTATACATTATTTGAAATTATTCGGCCGCTAATTGTATGTGAGGTGAATTCAACCCTAGTGAAGAATCAGACTACATTCCATAATCCGCAGATTTAAGTGACCAAAGTCTTAATCTGATAACCACCTGCTGACCCATTTATGGTCATGATTTTCGTGACCGATCATACCTGCACCTTAAAATCTGCATTAGACAAGTCGAATAACAATATTTTAGACGCCGGAGGCCTCTGTAAGCGCTACCGCTGATGAATTTTTAATACGAATATCGTAAACTCAGTCGGATATGAAACTAATCAAGTCACGTAGTAAAGAGTATTTTCATTTCCATACCTTTTTAAAAGTCACTGCAGTGACATGTAAAATGTAAGACAAGCGCTCAATCATCAATTTCTATAATTATCAATTTACTGACGTAATGGATTTCAAAGTGAAACAAACAATATTCTCAACAAAAATTAAAAGGTAAACACGGATAGTGGTTAGCAGTAGAATCCAGGATGCGCATTTTCGTCCTATTTGGGATGGTATAATACAAACAATAACACTAAAAATGAAAAGGAATCAGCTAGGGGTTTTTATTTGAACACTCTTGATGAAATAATGCCAAACAGATAGTGACTCAGATGTATTTTTTGATTATTCGGAATGTTAATTGACTTTTCAGTTTTCACTGATATATATTCTCCATTTTCTCACAACTTTCATATAATCTCTCCGATTCTATTGCCCCTATTATTATTGCTTATCTACTTAAAAGTGAGACATTTTAAGTCATTAAATCTTAGCATCAGGTTTCTCTCTGACGTAAAAGTAGAAGTGATAGGTCAGTTCGCCACTTAATGTGGTCATTCAGTAGATTGCATAGCTAGCTATCTGTCAGTTGAGCTTGAGATTTACTATTGATACTTCTTAGGACTGAATTCACTTGTCCATTTTAGCATACAGGCGGCTTTGGCATAGGCATTAGCTTTTATTCAATCTTTGGATCATTTCTAGGATAATTATTAACAAAATTTGGGGCCTGCTTTCCCTTATCTGACACTCGTCAACTGGGTGTACCACAGTGAGTGGCAGTGCTCTAACTGACATCCGAACCAAGCACCTACCACCTTTAATATCAGTGTTGCACACTAAGACATCCTAATATTTATCATTCCTCATTAATTTCTGTCTTTCAAAGGGAATTTATAACAAACATAAAATTAAAGAATACAATCCACATACATCTCTACTGTAGAATCCGATTTCTTTGCTTTATGTTAACTGCCACATACATATAAGTGGAACAAAGACTCATACTCTAATGACGGGAACACTATATTATATCGGAAATCAAATAAACTGATGAGTATCTTGATTGTGTTGTGTTCTCTGAGCTAGGTGGTTCATTGGGAAAGCTTTCACTGTCTTTCCTAACAGCGTCACCAGCACTAACTTCAGCTACCTCACACAAGACAATACAACCAAGATCAGAGCTACGAATAATGTACACTATTTCGAAAGCTGGTGGGTAATTTAGCTAAGTTTTCTCTCCGTTACAGAGTCAACCTGTATACGTTTTCAGAAATATATACATATATATATATATATATCTATATATATATATATATATATATATATATATATATATAGGAATGGGTAATCAAACTTGAAAATTTTGGTTTTATCAGAATATTGATAAAACGGATAGAAATCATTCACTATCACAAAAGTACTTCCATGTGTGTATGTCGTAGTTAAACAATATGAAAACTATCACTTTATTTTAGACTAATAGGAGCAATCAACATCTGACAACAATACGACAGTTGTTTTCGTTCCTCTTGAAAGATATGTTTCAATTTACGTACATCTCATCAGCTCAGTTCAACCGGATAACCACGGGATCTTCTGTTGCTGATAGTTACAAACACTCCATTGTTATGAGAACTAAACTTATGAAGAAAAGTGTCAGTAACGGTATTTAAGGTGCTTTACTCTGTTAGTGTACAGCTAACTTCGATATTTTCAAAATAGGAAATAAGCATTCCTTAGCTAGTTACAAACTTCAAGCAGGGATTTTTAACAGTTTCTGGCTCTCACTGTCAGTATTAGCCTATTGATAAGCCCTAGAAATCAAGTGTTGTGAAATGCGAAACACGAAAAAACCGATTAACTTTCTTCCATACTGCAGATGCAGTCTCCTGATAAATAGTAATAAATAGGAAGCTGAACTTTGAGAATCAATGTATTCAGTTGTCAGGATGAATGCTTCATGTCCAGTGTACTTATGTCGAAGAAGCAAATTTCTGCGTGTGACACGAAGTTGGATGAAATATGCTATACTCCGATAAATATGTAAAGAAGTAAGGAAATTCTCCAAATGGATGTACTCCAACAAACGTTCTGCGGAAATCACATCTGGGTGGCAGGGAATTACTAATGTGAATTGTGTGACTTTAGAATCACTGGCTAATATTATCGTAGAATTCTTTATGGTTAGTTGACGGATTGAGATTAGGTAAACTAAGTAAATCACCTTCGTGAACTAAACGTGTGACTTGTTTTTGTAGACAAGCTTATTTCCAGACGAATGAAACTGATATTTATAACACATATTACTGACATATGTGAACAGTGACTGACCATTACAGATGTTCACTCGTTTACTTTGTCTATAAGGCATTTGAATAATAAGAAGTACGCCGATGGGGCCTTAAAATTGTATAGGA